GAGAAAAACTCCCTTAACCTTTTTTTGTCTGTGAAGCTTCTTATTTCCCCTTCAATTTTGAATGATAGCTTTGCTGGATAGCGTATTCTTGGATTCAGTCCTTTGCTTTGCATCACTTTGTAAATCCATCCATTTTTTGTCCTGAATATTTGCCATGGTAATTATGATGGATCTTGGCGTGGGTCTTTTTGGGTTCATCTTGGTTTGGACTCTGTGCTTGCGTGACTTTTTTCTTCCCCACCTCAGGGAAGTTTTCTGATATTATTTCTTCCAGTAGGTTTTCTAACCCTTGTTCCTCTTTCTGTTGTTCTGGTACCCCTATTAAAATTCATAACTCTTTCACAATCTCTTTCTTGAGTCAGTTCAAGACCTCCACCATTTATGTGTATGTGTGTGTGAGAGAGATTTGTATATATTTTTTCAGATATGTAATTTTGTTTTTACAAAAAAAATTGGAACTTTCTGTATAAATTCTATTGTAATTTTCCTCTTTCATTTATCAAATATAGCAAACATTTTTATATAACAGTAGATATATGTGCATAACATCAAATATAAGGACTAGATGATATTTTATTGAATACACATATTATAATTTATTTAATCATTGTTTTGTGGGGACCTTTAGAATATTGCTAGAATTTTGCTATTACAAATAATGCTTTAATTCAAATTCTTTCAATGGGCTTTCTTTTTGTAAAAATATATTTTTATTGATTTCAGAGAGGAAGGAGAGGGGAGAAAGAGATAGAAACATGAATGATTACAGAGAATCATTGATCGGATTCCTCCTGCACACCCCCTACTGGGGATGGAGCCCACAACCCGGGCATGTGCCCTTGACTGGAATCAAACCTGGGACCCTTTGGTCTGCAGACCGACGCACTATCCACTGAGTCAAGCTGGCTATGGCTCAATAGGCTTTCTTTCAACATGAGTTAATATATTATAAATATCTTATAAACTGAAAGTGCTGTATACATATTAATTGTATTTACTATACTTTACTTTTATTATGTATATGTCCCATTTTCCCATTAGATTGTGATCATCTCTGAATGAGGCATAGGAATCCAACTGTCTTTGCAGTCCTCACAGCACATAGCAAAGTGCATCTTCATTCATCACATATTTGAAAGTAAAGATGATGGTCAGTCCTTGCTGTGGTCAGTGGTCCAATAGTGTGACGTTGCTAGGCCTCAAACAAATTTAAGTTTTTTTCTCAGACAAATATAGTTGCTTCAGGTTGCATCTGGTGGACTTGAACTCATAACCTGAACTTCATTATTTTCAGGTTAACAAATTGGTTCAGGCTGTTTTACATGTTTTCATGTAATATGTTAACATGTCATGACCCCACTGGACAAAATGTAGCTGACAAACCACACACACACACACACACACACACACACACACACACACACAGGAACTGCTATGTACCTTCTTTTTCCCAGGAACAAATGAACAAAGATGATAAATAACAAAATATGTCCAATTTATATTCTCTAGAGAGTTTCCTGCATTTCTTCTCTTACATCAAGTTTTATTATTTCAAATTATGAATTTACTAGAGGCCCAGTGCATTCATGCAGTGGGGGTGGGGTGTCCCTTAGCCCGGCCTGCCCCCTCTCCAGAAGCCCTCAGGGGATGTTCTACTGGCAGCTTAGGCTCGCTCCCTGGGGAGCAGGCTTAAGCCACAGTCTGGCCTCCCTCTGTGGGAGGTGATCCGGTGATCAGGGGAAGGCACCACCCCCATCACCCTGCCGCTGCTGCCACTGCTGGCCGCCTCAGTTGCCTGCCGTTGGCCCTCACAGCCACCGCAGCTTTGTCTAGAACAGTGGTTCTCAACTTTCTGGCCCTTTAAATACAGTTCCTCATGTTGTGACCCAACCGATAATTATTTTTGTTGCTACTTCATAAATGTAATGTTGCTATTGTTATGAATCATAATGTAAATATCTGATATGCAGGATGGTCTTAGGCGATCCCTGTGAAAGGGTCGTTCGACTGCCAAAGGGATTGCGACCCACAGTTTGAGAACCACTGGTCTAGAAGGACATCTGGAAGGATGTCTGGAAGGACATTCTGCTGTCTGGTCTAATTAGCATATTATGCTTTTATTATTATAGATTCTTCTTGCCATAGTTGCCTCGGGGTGAGAGTACAAAGTTAACAACATTCAATAAAACAAGTGAAACCATAAAAACTTCCGTCAGCATTATAAGGTTGTTATAAAAATGCATGTTTGGGGGTAAATGTACTATGAGCATTTTTCTTATTCTTAGGAAAAACCCATTTTTTCCCCAGCATTTTATTATGAAAAAAAGTTTTCATTGAATTTATGGGGGTGACATTGGTTCACAAAGCCATACAAGTTTCTAGTGTACAACTCAACAAAATATCTTCTTAACACTGCATGTGAGCTCATCACCCCAAGCAAAGTCTCTTTCTGTCCCCATTTCTTCCTCCTTTGCTCACCTCCACGTACCCCCACCCCCTTTCCCTCTGGCTATCACTACATTGTTGTCTGTGTGTATGTGTGTGATATATGGTGTTTTTTTTTCTTAATCCTTTCACATTATTTCATCCAGCCCCCAAACCCTCCTCCTCTCTGACAGGAAAATTTTTGAACATAAAGAGGACAACGTGAAAGAACTGTATGGTGAACACCCAAGTACTAGACACCTAGATTCTATAATTAACATTTTATTTCACACATCTATCCATATTTCTATCAATCCATTTGTGTATGTGTATATTTCAAAGTAAATCAGACACATCAGTACTCTTCCTCCCTTCAGTGTCCATATCATTACCTAAAGAGGAAATCCAATTTTAAAAGCCAGGTACTCTGTCAGCGTAAAAAGGTGACTGGTTACAGCTCCTCCCTCAGGTAGGCTTGAAATTCTAAAGGTGGTCAGCCCCCAGGCATGATTGACTTTGTCTTATGAACTTTGTCATGTTCCACAATGTCTTATGAGAGCAGAGAGATAGGAAATATATTGTGGTCTTCCAGGGAAATGCTAAATGGTAAATTGTTCTGTGATTGGGGGGAGAAATCTTTCAACCATAGCTGCTGCTTTAACTAAGGAAATTTGGGGCATCTCTTGGACGTGGAAAAGAAAATAGAGAGAGAGAGATTTATAGATATAGATATATGTGTGTGTATATATATGTGTGTGTGTGTGTGTGTGTGTGTGTGTGTGTGTGTGTGTGTACATATATTCTGTGTTAACTCCATAACAGTGTGGCAAGGTAGATTTTATGTCTGCTTTATAATTGAGGGAAATGACTCAAGGGTTAAATTACTTGCCCAAGACTGCACAGCTAATAAATATCAGGAAGACAAACAATATTTTTCTAGAGACTTGGTTTGCTTGTCTCAGTGGGCTTCAATGTCACCTCTCAATTTGGTTCTCAGTCAGTCCCATTTGGCCTGCTGGAGGGACTCAAGAGGACTGCATACTCAGAACTGGCCCTTGGTGTGGATGATTTTCTAGGAGGGGCTGAAGTCCAGAGTAGCCAAGTCAAGGCTTTAAGAATCGGGCTAAGTATAAGCAGGGTAACTGAAAAAAGAGAATCCTGTCTGCCTCTGATTATCATGACTTGCTGATTTGTTTCCAGGTGTTTTGAAGTCTTATGCATCTATTGTCAGTCAGGCCACATTGAAGAGCCTTATGTCAGCATCACCAAGAAGCGACAAATGCCAAAAAATGGCCTCTCAGAGGAGATTGAGAAGGAAGTGGGCCAGGCAGAGGGCAAGATGTTCACCCACCGATCTGCATTCAGCCGGGCATCAGTGATCCAGGCTTTCCTAGGCTCAGCCCCCCAGCTGACCCTGCAGCTATATATAAGCACCTTGCAGCAGGACATCACTGTTGGAAGAAGTATGTATATCTTTTATCTCTGCCTTAATTTAGGGATCATCATGGGGAGCAAAACAAAGTTTATTTTGTTTTAGGTAAAATTCATTCATAGGTGCATTCAGTCCTGAGTTTGCATTCCAGTTACTAAGCTCAAATATTAGTGAGTTGAAACAGTAACAGTGTTTATTTGCTTATGAATCTGCAATTTTGGGAGGGCTAAAAGTACTCACCTATGCTTTACTGTGCTTCAGCTGGTGTGGCCCAAAGATGGGAGGCTAGAATCCACTGGAGGCCCATTCACTTATATTTCTTACTAGAGGCCTGGTGCACGAAATTTGTGCACCTGAGGAGTGATCCCTTAGCCCGGCCTGTGCCCTCTCGTGGTCCGGGAGCCCTCGGGGGATGTCTATCAGGCTTAGGCTTGAGCCCGGCTCTGGCTGAGCCTCGCTCCGCCTGTGGGCAGCTGACCACCTGGGAGTAGCTCCTGCATTGAGCATCTGAGCCCTGGCAGTCAGTGTGCATCATAGCGACCTGTCATTCCACTGTTCAGTTGACTTGCATATTAGCCTTTTATTATATAGGACTAGAGGCCCGGTGCACAAAAATTTGTGCACTCAGGGGGAGGGGGAGCCCCTCAGCCCGGCCTGTACCCTCTTGCAGTCTGGGACCCCTCAGGAGATAACGACCTGCTGGCTTACACCTGCTCCAGGGTGGCAGAGGGCAGGCCCAATCCCTAGGTGCAGCCCCTGGTCGGGCTCAGAGCAGGGCCAATTGGGGAGT